AATGCGCGCTCAACGCGAGTCACAGCCAAGTGCGCGACTAGTGTATACCCTGTAGAAAATAAGACTAAAGGGAATATAACAACAAAAATTGCAACAAAGCTAAAATTATAGAATCAAATATTACTGTAAATATCAATATGATTATGCATGTAATTTCATTTACAGGGTATCTTATAGTCGGCATATGCATGCAGTTTCTAACTCTGCTGAGCTTCTGTAGCTCTGCTGTTCACTCAACTTGCTCTTAACTTCACGCTGACTTCCTCCCCTCTCATTGCCCATGCAACTGACTTATACACTTGCCTACCGCCCCAGCCACGCCTCCCACCCCCGCCGCATGACGGCATGGCCAGTTGCAGTGTGGCTCTGCGCCTACTTTACTAATTTCTAACAGTTTTATGCTAATTTCTGGACAAGCGCAAACATTTGAAGAAGCCGCGGACAACGTTTGCCATTCACCAAAGTTGTTTTTGCTGGTTGTTGTTGTTGGTTGTTGTTGTTGTTGTTGTTGTTAGTGAACATGTGTATTTGAACAGTTAATTTATGCTATTTAATTTGGCATTTCATTTGATTAATAACTGTTATTGTCTAGCTCGAATGTCTTCTCTCTATTTTAACATGCAACAACAGCAACAACAACAACAACGACAACACTTGTCCTAAGTTTTCTTATTGTTCTAGTTTGAATTTTGTTGTTTTGTTTTGTTTTTCTATTTTTATGAGGCCTTTTCGAGGTGTGACTAATCGAATTAGCATGCAACAACAACAACAACAACAGCAGCAATCATATCAACTAATTGTGCATTGGCAACATACATAAGCGCCAGCAACATGTTGATAACGCTTTGGCAACCACTGTAAACGTGTTCGGCTTTATGGCCGTTTGATTGCTAGATTATTCGATTGATTAGTGAGCCAGAGCCAGAGCCAAAGCCATTTCATGTTTATTCAATAAGCCAGATTGAAGAAGAAGAGCCAGATTGAATAGAATGTCAAAAATATTCAAATATATATGAACATGCATGCATATGTATAGGAATATGAATTCACATGGATATACCCATTCATTTTGAAGTTTCAATTTCAAGAATATTTTATTCATATTCATACCGAAGTATTATTAATACATTCACATTCATGGGCGAAGGCGTAGTTTGTTCATGCTCTAACCTGAAATCATTTTGAAATTCGTATTTTCAATTAAATTCGTATTTCTACCCAAATTCATTTATGTATATATTCAGATCTATATTCATAATAGTATTTTTATTCATATTCAAATATTTATGATAGCATTCAAATTCATATTTCACCTACACTAATATTTATTCCAAAAGTGACTCTCTTTGTCATATTTATATTCTTATTCACAGCTTATTCACAATCATATTCATATTTTTGTGAAATTTTACGCTCTTATTTATAATTAGGTTCATAGCACCATTCACACTAATGATCAATTTTTTTATTTAAATTAATATTTATATTCATACTCATATTTATGTTCATATTCATATTCATATTCATATTCATATTCATATTTGTAATAATTTTCATATCCACATTCGTATGCCATATTCATATGCGTACATATTTGTCTTTATATTCATTATCATATTCATATTCATATTCATATTCATTTTTATATTCACATTTATAATCATATGAATATTCACACTCATATTCGTATTCATATTCATATTTATATTCATATTCATATTTATATTCATATTCATATTCATATTCATATTCATATTCTATATTCATATTCATATTCATATTCATATTCATATTCATATTCATATTCATATTCATATTCATGTTCATATTCATAATCTCATATTCATGTTTGTATCGAATTTCGTATACATATTCGTAATTATATTCATATTCATAATAGTATTCAAATTCCTTTTTATGTTCATTATTCATATTCCCTTAGACACATGTTGCAGCAACATGTTGCCGAATTAAACGTAGGCCATTTGAACTATTCTGTGTATATTTTTGTAGTCTTTTACAGCTTTCAGCATTTATTTTGATTGCTATTTGGAGCTAGTAGCTGCAGGCACTGTTCCCCCTCTATCTCATAAGTGTATGCGTGTGTGTGTGTGTGTGTGTGTGCAACATTCTTGCGACGCGCCATTCATTTCCTCAGTTCTTGCTCTGGCTTTGACTAGTCGTTGCTGTTGTTGCTTGGAATGCGCATTAATTTTCAACACACGCAACAAGCTGCAAGAAGAAGAAGAAGCAGCCGAGGAGACAGAGCAGACGGAGCTGGCAGCAGGGGCGGCAGAGGCAGCTGAGGCAGCCAGAGCATAAGCTGCGTCAATTTCGCGCTTTACTTTTGTTGTCAGATGGTTTTAAATCAGCGTTCGCGAGGATCGAGCCAGCTCCACCTGGGCTGGGCGCCCGTCCGTGTAGGCAGTCCGGTTTGGGGCCAGCTCCTTGCGCTAACAAGTGGTTGGCAGCGCAGTCGCCGTCGCAGCTGGCAGCGGGCAGCGGGCAGCGCTGCCTTGGCTGTGGCAGCTGCACGCGCCTGGCTCGGCCTGGCCAGCCTGCCTGCCCCATAATGACTTTCAAATGGGAGCCGCAGAGCGATTTATGTGCGTCAAACAGACTGCGAGAGAGAGAGAGAGAGAGAGAGTGATAGGGGGGAGCAGGGAGAGTGGCGGGCAGTGACGGGGGCGGGACAGGTGAGGAACTGGGCAGACCGGGCGGCCGTTTTCTTGGAATTCCGCGCGCGCTTTTGTGTAGCATTTTTGTTTTGTTTTTGCCTGTTGCTTTTTGCTTCTTCTTTTTACTTAGTTTTTCGAATCGAGAGGCGCAAACTGTCGCAGGGCAAATGCTGCACGAACCCGTTCCGCAGGCCACTTGCCACAGCCGCAGCACAGCCAGAGCAACAGCAACAGCACCAGCAGCAGCAGCAGCAACAACAACAACAACAGCCRCACAGCACCTGCAGCCTGCTCATAATAATGACACGCCATTAAGAAGCTGATGCCCTGATGCCACAAGGACTGGCCACATGCTGCATGCAACATGCGGCCAGCCAGGCAGCCAGGCAACCAGGCAACCGTCTGGCCTCGGCTCCAGTTTAAATGGCATATTGCGAGCGACTGTGCTTCCGTTGTCACGCCCCATTCGCTTACCGCAGGACAGCAATCTCAGTCCCTGCCGCTTGCCCCGTGCCCCTTGCCACTGCCCCACTGTCACTGTCACTGCCTCGCAGCTCCTTCACTGCTGGTACAGTTGCGTTCAAGACATCTCCACATTCCTCACACAATTTAACGCCTACTTTTGCCTGCACAGCCAAACGAAAAAAAAAAACAACAAAAAATATCCATAATTTCTGTGCTGTTTTTGGTAGCTCAATTAGGGAAGTTTCTAAAAGGATTTCTGCGGGAGAAACTTTCAAAAATATTTTAAATATATTTTACATAAGTAAATTTTGCGAATATTCGCGATATCTTAAA